GCTTACCTTTCAATTCATATAATACGCATAAAACAATCCTATGTATATGGTTAGGGACTCCCTTGAAATTAAGAAAAAACAAAATAAAAATGAGACAGCATGTAACTCCTATAACATCACAGCCCACTGTTTGAATCCAATCACTATTCAAGAATATGGCCTTTACAAAGAGATGAACCAATTAGACGCACAAATAAAACATTGATTCTGTTAAAATATCTATTAAAATTATAACATGTCTTGTTTGTTACATTTAATGAAACAAAACTCAAACTCCATACACAGCTAGAACAGAGTCTCTAATATAACATATTAAAGGAAAACTGTGCATACTTACATTGTGTAATTGAAGTCAGCCACATAAAGACATAACATCATCCCATCTGCCACTGCATTAACATAATGAACCGGTAAGGAATTGATTTGAAGAATCACTTCCAGATTCTATAAATTATTTTAGTAGTGCATGACATGGGAAGAGTCAACTCCCATATATCAAGCTCAAAATTTGAACCGGGGAAAAAAAATTAGGTGATAAATAGAAAGTAAACCAAATTTAACAATTTTAAAAGAACGAAAATTTTATGCAAGATGAAAAGAAAACATCATAAGCATGTGGTGCATATACAGCAAGACATTCAAGAATCCACTACAGAATAATGATACATGATGGTTGATAATACCTTAAGAACTGGTTCGCCTTTACTGTTATTATTAGATTGTTTGGACGCAGCTGCTAGCTGTGCTTTAGCAGCCCTTCCTGCTGCGGAGTTCTCAAACTGTTCTTGCCTGCAAGCTAATATGTTATCAAAGTAGAAATGCAATACGATAACATTTTGAATCATTTGGTTATAAAAATTCAACTAGAACATTTGAAACATATGTAGAAAAAGCTTCCAATAACACAAAACAGCTTTAAATAGTTCTCTCATACATCTGGCACTTTGCTTTCAACAAACGAGGATACAACATATCAAGTATGATCAGATGGTTTGATCGCAAAAAATTGAACTTTCTGAGGTGGATATCTTCTCCATTTCATTTTCAAGGAAGACCTCCTTTTGACTCTGGGGATTCCCATGAAATAAGATTCAACTGGATGGCTTCCAATTTTTCCTTTCAACCACTTCCTTCACAACTTGGGTTGCTTGCTTTCTGTGTTCCCAACACTTGCCAAGCAATCTCACTGCCAAGTGCCATGTTGTTTTCCCAGTCCTAGAAATTTCTAAGAAATCTCTCTCTGCACAGCATCTCACTCTTAACATTATTATCAATAGCAACTAGAGCAATAAATACACTCAAGCTACTTGGGATTGGCCAGAGTACTCATACAAGACCGGTTCAAGAGTTGTGACAAGCTGACCTTCAACACATTCCTAAACTCTTAAACTTGGCTCATATAGTTGCACACTTTACTATATTCAGTTTAGCTAACTTAGGTACTCTGACTCAACTCAGATTTTTCTATTAAAGCTAATTCAAACTTTGCTTGGAAAAAAATGAAAAAAAAAAAAAAAATCCAAGCTTTGAAGCTCATTTATATGAAGATGAGCTTGAAAACTTCATTGTGCAGCGGGAGAGTTAATGTTTATAAGCCACTTTGAACTCCTTGTCTTGTTAGGTTGGGTAATAAATCAATTGCTCGAATCCCTATTAAATAATAGTTAATTATTGTTTTCCTACTTCCCAGTCTTGTGGATTAATATCCTCGTAAAATTCCAATCTAGGGGTCCCATAATTTAATTTGTCTCAATCAATATAGAGTTGGGATAAGTAATTGTCTCCAAGTTTTGCAAAATAATGGTGAAATTCCATTACAGTTAATATAAATGTTCTCCTTGGAGATATCATAAGGTTCCCTCAATGTCTTCTCTTCCTGTATTCTTTACAGTCTATACTTTAAATTCAAGAAAAGGTTTAATTCCTCAGATAAAGGCTGTCCCTGAGCACGTTCCATAGATTTGACGACTACTTGAGTAATCCAAAAGAAAGTTCCCCTTTAAGACAGAAAATTTACACAACACCATGACTACTTAAAAGGTGCGAAGAAGAGTTTGCTAAATTCTACCATGAATTTGA